TTTTTTTGCTCCACCATAGAAAAAAATAGTTGCAGTATTTTGCATCCCAAAAATGACTCTGCCATCTTCTGTCCATTTTTTTTCTCGTTGATGTTAACTCATTCAATGCCAATCGTTATTCTCAAATTGGAAGATCCATTATTGATGGCCTACATAAAATTTAGTGCTCTAGCTTACCATGGACCCTACCAAAAGAAACCTTTAACCCTCTTATTTCACCAGGAAAAAGGTACATTTCTACATTTTACTATTCTTTAGTAAACAGCAGCTGAACGTTGGTAAGGTTCTTGAAAATATCCGTTTCCAAGAAAAACTGAGAAAAAGACCGTTTTGTGAAAGCATGCATATCAAGCAGAACTTTCACTTTGATGCTTTTTTTTTTTTTGCATTTGCGATACGAAATACCTAAAAAATGCTAAATAACACCATAAACAACACAAAAAAATGTCAGTGTGATTGCAAAATAACAGTTTATTGTAAGATAAATACTTCACTGATGCATGATCTATGCATGAAGTTTTCATGAAAGTTGAACTTTGTGTGCGTGTGTTTGTGTTCCCGCGTGCGTGTTGTGCGTGTTAGTCAGTGATGACGATGGAACTTTGTCGTCTCTTTTTTGTTTGAAAAAGCTCTTTTGTAGAATTAGCTGCCGGTATTTATACATGTCCTTACTGGTGGCATCGCTTCCACCTTGCAACGTAGGATCGCCATACCCCATTTTTTTTTGGGGGGGGGGGGGGACTTTTGCCATCAAACATGGCCGTGTAAGAAGAAAAATGTAACGTGGAAGCTACACGAGAAGGTGTGTCAGCTCAGCAAAGATACCCCGGGAATAATTGCTGCCAGGTACATTTAAAATAGCTCCACTTTTTTTTTTTTTGGTGGTAGGGGGGGACCCAATGGTGCATTCAATGTTCAATGGACGTAACGTGGAGGCTGACCTTCTCAGGGGGACTATTTTTGGGCCTCTGACATAGAAAGTCGGATCGGCTGCCAAAGCACAAACAGCAGATGCTCGGCCGGCGGGGGTTCAATACAGGGATTTGTCCAACGAATGCTCCTTCTGTCGATGGTTTAATGGCCGAAGGCGGCCTTCGCGGGCACTTCGCCAGGCCTTTTGAGCCTCGATGCGCTGTGTTCGTTAACCCTCTCATCCACCCTGTAACCTGATAACATGGTAAACTGTCCGCTGTTGGAACCGCTGTCCCTGAAAGGGTGAAGTCTGACAGTGTTCGTAACGGTTTCCAGTCAAGGGTTAGCAGTCGGGCTGTGCATCTCTCCAGCATTTTGATGTAATACAAGGACAATACATTTTCAAGAGGAAGGATTTTAAATGACATTTGTTTTTACAACTCAAATTGGTTTTGGTCACAGACAGGAGCCTGGTTTAGAAAAACAAACAAACAAAACAAAACAAACAAACAAAAAAAACCCGGTGGACTTATCCCTCCTCAATTTGCGCAGCTAGGCATATTTTAATGATGTGACACCACAGTGACCAACCCTGATATTTCACTGACCAAGTATGTTGACATTTGCCATCGAGTCATCATTAGAGACTAGTGGTGTCACGAAAGCTGTTTTCAATCAGGGAATCGTTCTTTTTTTTCTTCTCTTTTTTAGATACAAATGTGTTGAATCAAACTGAATCGTTCCACTTTTTAAAAAATGTGCCGCTCTTGAATCGTATCGCAGCCCAAATATCGAGATGCGTATCGAATCAAAGTCTTTTATTGGAGCAAGCGATGCACACCCCTTCTATCTATCTATGTTGCTAGCAAGCTAGCTAGCTACCTGTCTATCTATCTATCTATCTATCTATCTATCTATCTATCTATCTATCTAGCTAGCTATGTAGCTAGCTAGCTGTCAATCTATCTATCTATCTATCTATCTATCTATCTATCTATCTATCTATCTATCTATCTATCTAGTTTTTCTTTACGATACGACGTTACGCTACTGTAGCTTTCCCCACGTGGCTAATTTCAAGCCACTGTGCCGTGTTGTTTTTGCACCGTCACACCTCCCGGGCTGTGTGTCCCGCACTGGCCCCCAATAATACCGACTGAGCACTTTTGCACGACACCGTGTCACGCCGCTACATGTAACGAATCTGCTGTAGCTTTTCCGGACCTGGACCTGGGTCAGAATTCCAAGGGGGACACCATCTGGATGACACAGCGGGTTCTATACATTCTGTATACCTTGATACAGACCTTAGCCAGTGTGCTTGTTTATGAATATTTTTGGTCTTAAAATAATAGACAATGATGTATAGTGTTCCGATGCATATAGTGGACTTTTCTAATGACAGTGTATTGGAGGCCGTGATTGACAGCTTGATAATTATCCTTTGTGCTAACATGGCAAAGCCCCTCCCATCTGCCAGTACAGACCGACGCTTAAGATAGTCCCTAAAAATAGTACCCTTAAACATGTACTACTCCCACCCCTCCTTGTTTTTCTTCTCTGGAATAACGATCGCTTTATGATACAACAATGCATCAGCGCAACTATGTCTTTGAGTGGGCGGTTCCTATCAAGGGACTCTTGAGACCTCTTTTCACATGATTGCATTTTCGGACATCATGTAACGTTATTTCATGACATGGCGCTACATCATGGCAACTTTGCTGCTTGCCTGGAGTCATTATCTGATTTTATTGGACGGTTCTTATCGAACCATCGTCTCGGAGACGCCTTGAAAATGGTTTCCAAAATTGTTGTTGTTGCGCCGTATCAAGAACTCAATTCATGATATGAAACTGCTTTGCTGCAACTTTCCTCACTTTGTCGCTTATTTGGGGTTGCGGTTTTCATCGCACCACCGTCCGAGAAGACTCGTTCGACCTGTTCCAAATGTTTCCAAAAGGAGAGAACTTTTTAAGCACCTTCACGATTATGACGTTGCGTGACTGCAACCTCATTTGAAACGCTGAAGATCGCATGCTTGAAAAAATACCTGAAGTCCGACCAATCTAGTTGACTGCGTGTTAGTTTTTTAGCACCGTGAGTTGACCAACCATGGCGTTGGCATTTCTTAACACTAAACTGCATCACGGCATCTCTGCTCTTTATTCCGAGTCGTATGTGATATCCACTGGATGGATATCATTGAAACAGCATCTCAGAGACTCTGGAGACCTGTTTCAAATGTTTTTAAATCGTTGTTGTTGTTGTGTCTTCTCAATTCAGGACACTGCATCACTGCAACTTTGTTGCTTGTCGGTCGTCGTCCTCTCGGAGACCACAAATTTTACGATTTCAGTTTGTAGCCTGCACCTGTAGAAGACCAGCAGTCCAACGATCAAGTTCACTGCACGTTTGTTTGCTTAGCACCACAAGTCGAAATCTTCCACCTCGCATGAGCGGTCCGCTTTTTGGGGTACTTTTGCCCCTACACTGAACTGCGTCTCATAAACATCCGGAATGGTGAGAGAATGTCCAGGCGCTTCCTGGAGCGCCGGCGCGGCGTACACACACAACCCGTGGAGATGACCGTCAAGCCCGTCAGGATGTAGACGAAGCAGAAGGCCACGTAGCGCGGCTCCTTTTGCAGGGCGTCGTGCCGCTGCAGCGCCACGTAGTCGCCGAAGCCGATGGTGGTGAGCGTGATGAAGCAGTAGTAGAAGGCGTGCAGGAAGCTCCAGCCCTCGCTGCTGGAGAAGGCGACCGCCCCCACGCACAGGGTGCCCAAGCAGGAGAGGAAGCCCACTGCCACCATGTTGGCCATGGAGACCTCGGTGTGGCGCAGGGCCAGGCACTTCTTGGCCCGGTGCAGCAAGTGGCGCACCAGCGTGTTGATGCGCTCGCCCAGACTCTGGAACATGACTAAGGTGAGCGGGATGCCCAGCAGGGCATAAAACATGCAGAAGACTTTCCCTGAGTCCGTGCTAGGGGCTGCGTGGCCGTAGCCTGTGAGAGACACAACGCACAGAGCAAAAAAAAAAATGGCAGTTTTTGCATGATGTCTGTGTCAACCAGGTCATTGTTATGGACAAAGGGTGGTTGAATCAAGGTTGATTTAACAGACCCAATTGAGGGAAAGCTCGTCCATTTAAGCCAATCCAAGCCACTGGGGGGCTGTTATGACAGAGACCATATAAAGAATCAAGAAAAACGTTTTTTTCCACTTTTGTTTAAGTTACTGTCATGACGGGTTTTGGTTACAAGAAAATGGTTTTAATATCCTTCTTATTTTTTACAGATGAGAATTTGACATTTTGGTCCAGATTTTAGCGAGCATCATGGAAGTTTGATTTGCTTTTGCGGGCCACATCAAATGAGCTGGCGGGCCGGATCTGGCCCCCACGCCTTGAGTTTGACACCCGTGGTCTAAGACTTCAAATCCCTTTTTTGAAACCCAAACCGTGTCTTGAAACCTTAAATCTTTGCTTGAATCATGAACCTCGATTCAAAACCCCAACCATGTCCTGAAACCCAAATTTGAAACATTGTCCCATGTTTGAAACATCAACTTGAAATATTCCGCCACGACCTTGCTTGAAAGCCTTATTCCAAACCCTAACGGTCCCCCTCGCGCACTCACCGATGGTGGTGATCACAGTGATGGCGAAGTAGAAGGAGCCGGCGAATCGCCACTGCACGCCCGCTTTGTGCGCGCGCAGCTGGGCGACCACCTGCTCCAGCTCGTCGAAGTTGTCCCGGCTCAGGTTGAACTTGATCAACATCTCTTGACGCCGCGCCTCCAGCCGCCGCTTGTGGCCGCGCTCCTCGCGGGATTCCAGCGTCTCGAACACGGCGGCGCCCACCACCAGGTAGGTGAGGATGCTGACAATGAGCGCCAGGGTGCGGGCGTTTTGCCGCTTCATGGCGGAGGCGGGAGCGGGACCCGAGGAGGGCGAGCCGGGCGGGAAAGGGCTCTCCAAATCGGGGGGAGCATCCGGGCAGCGCCGCCGCCGCCGCCACCGGAGCTCGTGCTTTTCGCAACCTCCTCGTCCTTCTTCCCCTTCTCCCTCCGGTATACACGTCACCGGACTCTTTGTCATCAGCGTCTATTTTGGAAGATGACACGAGTGGGCAACCCCACACTACAAGACTTCGACGAGGAGGTGGAGGAGGAGGAGGAGGAGGAACCCGAATGTTAAACAAGAGCAAATATTGATCGTGCAGGTTGTCTGTCCAGTTGCACGCTACTTAACGGACGCCAGAGTCAATATTGAAGTGACACTCCCGTTTGTTTTTCACAATTTAACATAATTGCTTCCGCTCTGCTTGATCTAAAGAAGTGCCTCTTACTCCGACGGCCACATTTTTTTCTCCTTGTGTTTTTTTTAAAGCCAGAAAGATGCCATTTGAATTTTTTTTGTGGATGTGGAAGTTATTGAGCATCTTTCTGGAAATACTGACAAATTTGGACGTTTACCACCATACAAATATGGAGTTAGCCCACTCTAGTTCCGAGTGGCTCCTTTTCCGAACTTTCTCTCCTGCCGAACCCTCTCGAGATGCCAAATTGTTAAAGGTGATCATAAAGCGGAAAGCTCTTCTTTCCCTTCTCCTGAGTTTGTGTTTGCAATGCGCTTTAATTGGGGGAAATGGGGCATTTACACATTGACTTCAAATCTGGGTCATTTTTAAAGTCTTGCCCATCTGCATTATCATGGGATCGTCCTCTAAAAGTAGCACCGACAGCTTTTGTCTTCATCTCCGGGAAGTAGTCAGTGCCAACAGTGTAGGAAACACACACATGCACGAACACACACTCTGTGTTTGTTTTCGTCACAAATGGTCATTTGTGCTCCAAATTCAGAGAAAATAACCCAAATGGTCAAATTGACTTTGCAAGTAAGGACAAGAGTAAGGTTTCAAATTTGGTCTTGAGCCAGGGTCAGCGTTTTAAAGTCGTGTTTCCAGCCATGTAAAGGGTTTCAAAGTAAGGTTTCAAATGAGCATTTCATGTTTGTACTCCGGTAACAAAAGCGACGACAAACAAAACAAGTTGGAATAACTTTTAATTCAAATGTGAGGAGATTCAAAAATTAAGCTGTTAGGCCAACGTAATAATAAAAATAAAATAAGACTTAGATTTAGATTTAGTTTCAAGACACACACACATGCTCGCACGCTCACAAGTGTGTGCACTGTACAGTACGGCCGTTTGAGTGCTTGGGTAGGTTTTGGCGTTACAAGGCCTCAAATTCGTCGATCCTCTGCTTGGTGTTGCCCATGCGGATCTGCCTGAGCGTCTTGTACTTGTCTCGGCCGGCCCGCACGTTCTCGGCGTGCAGCAGGTCGCTGGCCGTCTTCTTGTTGTGGTCGCGAGACTCCTCCAGCTCCGAGCTCAGCGCCTGACCGGGGGAGTGAGGGGCAGGTCATTCAAGGCATCGCGCTCCACTTTCAAATGCTAATTTAAAACTCGAACGCTAGTTTGAAACCCTGAAACCTAATCTCAAAGCCTGAATTTAAAAATCCTTCCACAACTTTGAAACCTTAATTTGAAACCCTAACCCAGCCATAAAACACTAATTTGGAACGCTAACCCTAATCTTGAGACCCTCATTCAAATTCCTTCAAACGCAAAATTCAAAACCGTAATCCTATCCTAAAACCCTGTTTTGAAACTCTAAACCCGAATTTGTAGCTTCTTGCTGTAGCTTGAAACCCTCATTCAAAACTATTACCCAATCTCAAAATCCTATTTTGAAACTTTAAATTTGGCTCGAAACTCTAATTTGAAACCCCAAATGTGGCTTAAAACCCTAATTTGAAACCATATCCCTATCTTGAAACCTAATTTTGAAACTGTAACCATTATCTTGAAACCCTTATTCAAAACCCTAACCCTTTGCAAATCTAAATCTGGCTTCAAACCCAAAAATGAAACCTTACCCCCATCTTGAAACCTTAACCCTGACTTGAAACCCGACTTTGAAACCTCAAAAACTCATCAAAAATCCTCTGTTGAAACCCTAATTCATGACCCTTATCCTATCTTGAAACCCTCTATAAATCCAAACATCAGGTTGAAACCCTAACTCGAACCCATAACCCTGGTCTGAAATGCTAACATGAAACCCAATCTTAATTTGAGACCCTCCCCCTTGCCTGAACCTCTAATTCCAAAGCCTTAATCACAAACCACATTTGAAAAGCTATTTTGACCCCCCCAATAAACATGAAACCCAATCTTAATTTGAGACCCTCCCCCTTACCTGAACCTCTAATTCCAAAGCCTTGATCACAAACCACGCTTGAAATGCTATTTTGACCCCCCAATGATCTGGCTTCAAACCCAAAAATGAAACCTTACCCCCATCTTGAAACCTTAACCCTGACTTGAAACCCGACTATCTGGCTTCAAACCCAAAAATGAAACCTTACCCCCCATCTTGAAACCTTAACCCTGACTTGAAACCTCAAAAACTCATCAAAAATCCTCTGTTGAAACCCTAATTCATGACCCTTATCCTATCTTGAAACCCTCTATAAATCCAAACATCAGGTTGAAACCCTAACTCGAACCCATAACCCTGGTCTGAAATGCTAACATGAAACCCAATCTTAATTTGAGCCCCTCCCCCTTACCTGAACCTCTAATTCCAAAGCCTTGATCACAAACCATCAAGGTAAGAAATTTGGAATGACCTCCCACTGAACGTTCGGCATCTTTAAAACTCGTCTCAAAACTGATTTGTATTCTTTGGCTTTTGACTCAGCATGAGGCTTGATTTTTAGTTTGACTGGTTTTGTGCTTTCTACTGTCTTTGTTATTCATTTATTGTTTATTGTTGGAAATAGGCGGCCCGGTGGTCGAGTGGTTAGCGCGTCGACCTCACAGTGCAGAGGTCGTGGGTTCAATTCCAGTTTCGGCCTCCCTGTGTGGAGTTTGCATGTTCTCCCCGGGCCCGCGTGGGTTTTCTCTCCGGGTACTCCGGTTTCCTCCCACATTCCAAAAACATGCATGGCAGGTTCATGGAAAACTCTAAATTGTCCCTCGTGTGAGTGTGAGCGGCGGATGTTTGTTGGTCTGTGTGTGCCCTGCGATTGGCTGACAACCGGTTCAAGGTGTCCCCCGCCTACTGCCCGAAGACGGCCGGGATAGGCTCCAGCACCCCCCCCCGCAACCTTTGTGAGGATTAAGCGGATCGGAAAACGGATGGATGGCTATTCATCCGCCTAGGTTGAAACAAGAAAAGTTGAAGTGATAAAGCCGCAATCTGATTCATGACTTCCTGGCTTATGTTGACATCACACTCGTTTGGTGGAAATTTGTGTCTTCATAAAAACGACAAGTCAAAGTGTTTGGGAAGTTGAAAACCAAATTCAACTTCATTCAGCTCCAAGTAAGGCAAAGACGTTTTTGTACTTGCCACCACTTGTCGGAAGCTCACCTTGCAGTGCCACGTTTCCGCTTCCTCCTCCTTCACCCTCTTGGCCTCCTCCAGCAGCAGGATTTTGGCGCTGTACTCGGCCAGCTCCGTGGCCTTGGCAAAACAGACACAGGAACATCTCGCACCGCCGGTTGAAAGCAACGCAAAGAGACACGGGATCTACTGGGATCTCACCAGCTGCTCCTGGCTCTTCATCTGGTCCTCAGCCTGCCTGGTCAGTTCCTCCTTGGCGATGATGGCCTCCATCCTCTCGGCCTCCAGCCGGGCCGCCTCCTGCTCCACTTTCCTCCGTTCCTCCTCCAGCCGGATAGCCCGGTCCAGCTGCTCCTGGAGCTCTACAAGGCGGTAGCAAGGTTATGTGTTCTGTCATCAAAGCCTTCCAAATACTTGTGGGTACCAGCCGCATTCAGCGCATCGCCCGATTAAGGATGAGCAGCGATCATCATGTTGACGATCAATTAATTCTGACGTGTTACGGACCAAACCAGTCAACGAATCATAGATGAAGTTTTCTTTTGGAAGAAACGAATAGAAATTTAGACATGCTTTTTTTCAAATCCGATTCATCAATGAATAGAGAAAATATATACCCGTATTTTCCTTCTTTGGCACTTCGGATTATAAGGCGCACCTTCAATGAATGGCCTATTTTAAAACGGTTTCCATATATATGGCGCACCGCATTACAAAGCGCATAAAATAGAAGCTACAACAGTGGCTGCAGTTGCGTTATGCATCCACTAGATGGAGCGACGCTAAACGGAATACAAGACAATACAGCTTTATTTATATTGCGCTTTCACAATCGCAGCAGCTGTAACAAAGCGCTTGACAGAACATTTCAAATACTACATCCAAGAAATCAGAATATTCATCCATATAGAAGCCGTATCGGATTATAAGGCGCGCTGTCGGCTTTTGACAAAATGGAATGCTTTTTAGGTGCGCATCACAGCGCGAAAAATACGGTCATTGAGGCTCACCCCTCTCGGCTCTCTTGGTGGTCTCCTCGTACTGCTGGAGCTTGGACATGAGCTCGCGCTTCTCCCGTTCCATCTGCTCCTTCTCGAGCTCGATGGCCTCCCTGCGCTTCTTCTCGCTCTCCAGCTGATCGCGCTCCATCTTCTTCTGGAGCCGCTCCTCCTTGGCCTGGGCCTTCATCTGCTGCACCTCGATGGTGTCCGACTTACGGCGCCGCATGTACAGTTCGTGGTTGCCCATGCACAGCTGCAGTATGCGCTTGTTGACGCGCAGCCGCGGCGCGTAGAAGATGAAGTCCTTGAAGGGGGAACAAAACGCAACAACATTGGCCTTGTGTACTAGCCGCCTGCGTTGATTCGTGAGGCCTTGTCTTTGATGCTTTTCCAGTCTAATGGCTTTTTTTTTTGTTCTTGACAGACAGTGATTACGTTGACACCTTTGGTGCTAGCCGAGCAGTTCCTTGCCCATGTCCATGTGTAGCTGTGTCTTTGACCTCCCCACCCCGCCTCCCCCCAGTGTACACTCTTCAATTGAATCCAGCAAATTAGCACTTTCCGAATGTCGGACGCACCTTTGTCTTTAGTATGATGAGTGAAGTGTTTGACGGTTTTCCTGGAATAAAGTACTTACAGGGGATTTCTTGTCGATGGGCTTGATGATAAACTTTTTATCGTTAAAGGAAATATTCCTGATTTCACTCCAGGGAAATCCGATTTTCGGAGTCATCCTGAATGAATGAAATGAAAAAAAAAATAATTAGTAACCATAAAACTGTATTGTTCTATATTTTCTATATTCATTTGAATTCATAACTTGTTCTACGAATCACCCCACGTGGTAAAAGTACAAAAGCACATGGTGAAAGATGAAATTGTTGTGATAATTCATAAAGCAGTCTGTTAGTTGGATCCACTTAGGAAAAATGACATTTCCACAACACTTTGTGGAGTTCTGGTTTTGGGTCAGGCATTCACAACTTTGCAGGTTGTGTCAAACCACGTGTAAGAGTTCAACGACCTCGCCAAATGAATACGGTCAGCAGGGTGAGGTCGACAACCCGAGGAGCGATGACAGCGTGTCGGTCTTTCTGTGTGTGTCAGCGTGTCAACGCACACCAACAAACCCACCTGTCCTCCTTCTCGTAGATGTTGAGACCCAGCGCGTCCACGCCCAACCACAAGTCAGTGCTCTTCTTGTTCTTGATCTCAAAGTAGTTGACGCCGTACATCTCCAGGTCTTGGGCGATCTTCAGGTACTCGATTATGGCCTCATCCCTGCATGGCATGCAAGAAATGTTCACTGTGTTGCAAAAAAAAATGACATGCTTTGTTGTACTTCTGGTGTGGTTCGAAGGGTGAAAATACAGTATGGGCGGCTAGTCGCAGCTCCGAGTTCCCTGAACGCAACATACTTCTAGCTGCTCTGCCATTGGCTATTCCCGAGCATCATCCTGGCATCCCATTGGCGAATAGGAACCTCGACCGTTTGAGTCTATGTGTGTCGATAGATCGATAGATGGATATTTGTCGATGCAGCGTCCTCGTCATTCGCCCCTTGGGCCATGAGCCGTCCTGATAGTTTTATGCGAATGTGAATCACCCAGAACAGGTGTTCACCGGTCGGACGATCGCTCACGATGCTGATGTTTGCATTTTCGACAAAAGCAAACATCCTTGGATCAGTTCTTGACAAAACGCCAGGCAAAAAACACTTCTGAGAGAGAACATGAACTAAAGAGGGCAAAAAAAAAAAACGATGAGGACGCAGTTAAAAGTTACACGACCATCATTTTTATTCTTTACTCTTTGTTTTTTTTTACATTATGCACAACTCTCATTTATTGCGCAATAATCTAAACGCAACATCGATTTGTCACATTTTTTTGATGCATTTTTATGCTTTCGGGAACATTCATGTCCGAATTTTGGGGGGGGCTTGGAACGAATTAGGGCATTTACATGCAAAACGAGTCTCGACTTACAAAATTTTCTCGTTCAGAAATTTCTTCCAGAACCAATTCATTTCATAAATAGAGGTATCACTGTAATTGTTTTGACTCCACTGGGGAGCCGTTGCTTTGACAAGAGCGAATGATTGTTTTGACTACACCAGAACTGTGGGAGTGTGTGATTGCTTTGGCGACACAAAAGACTTGATTCTTTTAACTACATGAGAACGTGATTGCTTTGACACCAGATACTGGAGTGGATTATTTACACGACAGGAAGTTGCACACAAGCAGACGTAGCAGACTGGAACTTGGCGGTGGTCTTCAAGTGAACCTACTTGAGCATGCATCCGTGCTCCTCGTGCCAGACCTGTATCTTGTCCTCCCATTGGTCCTTGGACAAGCTGTGTTGTTCTAGGACTCTAAAGAAGTGAACAGGTTAGCATTGCTGTGCTCATGTTGTTGGAAGTCTTCAGGCCAACCCGCACGCATTCGCTAACCTGCGCGACAAGAGACGCTCCGAGGACATGTAGCCCGGGTGGTGCACCGACTTCTTGTACTCGCCATACTTGGCCTGGATGGCGTAGGAGGCGAGGAGCACGGCTGACTCGGGTGGACAATAGACGTCCTCGTTGAGGATGTCGTCCTTGACCTGCAGGTAGAAGAGCCGGCGAGTCACGTCCTGGATCAGCTCCTCGGCCACGTCCTCCGGGTAGTACTTGGCACGCAGCTTGAACTGCAGCGGCGTCTCCTTGCGCACGTCCTGCGACATCACCTGAGAAGGTACCCAAACATTTGTTATTTATTTATTTATTTTTTGTTGCTTTTGTTGTCTCTCTCTTGTCAAACGATGACATTTGCCAAAAATCTTATTTTCACCCCCAAATAATAAGAAATCAATCAACAAAAGAACCTTTTTCTCGATGTTGAGCCAGGTGAGTAAACCTTTTCCATCGACAAACTGGAGCCCAAAGTACCAAATCTCGCGCAGTCCGATTGTCCTGGCCACCTTAAAAAAAAAAAAAAAAAAAAAAAAAAGAATAAATAAATAAAATTTGAACATGAATAAATATTGACAACTTCTCACCACTCTACAATTCTTACCACAGATATAGTTTAGCTTTTAACAACAGTCATAATAAATCATATCCATTTTTGGGGATAATCCTGAAAAGGAAAAAGACTGGTGATCGATCACTTTAACAGCACACGACCGTTTTTGTTCTGACTGGACGAGCGAGTCGCTGATGTGGTGCATTCATGATTGGGCCAGTTACTTCCAAAATGTAATCTATTTCATATTACTGTGTTACTTGCATTTGGAAGTACTGTAATACGTTTCTTTACCACATTCTTGTCTGTGTAGAATAATAAATTACTTTTTTTTTTTTTTTAACTTATAATGAGAACGTTTAACTATGTTGTGTGGAGTATAATGTTAAATGTTTCCCACTATGGCGGGAGATCACCGCCTTTGCTATTTTTTTATTTTTAATATACATTTTGGAAGTGATATTTTGTCCAATAAATAAATCATCTCAGACTTGACAGCATAAATAAGAATATCAAAATACTCAAATCAATTTACACACATTCGGGCTTTGGATGATCACTTGATGGTTGTTAGGGTCGCTCCCGAAAGTATTCGGACAAAATGCTGAGGATTTATAATAATATACAAGAAGGGAAAAAACATTTGGTGACACTTGGCCATTCCACCTCCATAAAACGGCATCGCAGCTTCAGAAAATACTTTTTTCCGTAAAACTTTGGAGTGGATGTACATTTTTGCGACGCTAACCCTAATCTCTATCCTTCCTAATGAATTTTTTGGAGCCAGTTTGATGGCTAAACATTTTCCAGTCGACCTCTGACCTGGTCGAAGAGCTGCTTCCCAGTCGTGTTGGGGTGGAAGGAAAACTCCAGCTCAGCATCCATGGTGGTGACGCGAACGTTGACCTGCGGAGGAAAGGTCGCTCAGTCACGTGACGCGGCGCCACTCGTCACGCTCCTCTTTTGATACGCGCTTCCTGTCGTCTATATTAAGAACCCCAAACTCCAAAACAAACTCATGCGATTGACCCGAGCGGACATATTGATTATTCGGAATGGAAAACGGTGTAAATAATTGCCTTTTAATGTGGAAGTGGATTGCTCATAAGCCATAATTGCTCACTATCTCATTAGACTTTGGACTGCGGTCACCAGGCGAAAAATAGCACAGCAGTCGCTAACAACAAGTCGCCGGCTTTAGTGTTCATCTTTTTTTCTTTCTCTCTCTCTCACTTTTACGCTATTACGTGTGCCACAAAGTGACGGCATTTGCTCGCCAAAAAGGGTAACAAATAACCAGGACGAGAAACAGGCATGTTAACCCACCCCCCGACCGACCCCCTTGCACTCCGGATTCGCTTACGCAATGATTTTATGAACTGGCGTTAATGCACGCCCCGGGCTGTCATAAAGATAAACGCAGTGGAAGTTGGGCAACAAAAAGTGGAACTCTTTGCATCACCGTCACCTTTGCTTATATATGGAGGTTTACCTTTAAATTCCTCCGAGCTAATCATTCCAACCAACAAGACAAAAAAAAAAAAAAAACATAATCCATCTTGAAGTGACATTTCGTCCACGAAGGGCGAGAAATTCCTGCGACGTGACTCATGACTCGACGTCACCGTGACCTCTCGAGGCAAGACTTTCTCCTTGGAGCGTCATAGCGAATATGTATCTAACGTACTGCACGTCTTGTTCCACCAACAAATGCCTAATTTTTCTCAAAGGTCAACAGACGAGTAAGAAGACGAATTTGAACGCTCGCAATTTCTCGATAGCTTCGCTTGCGTGTTGCAACCGGTCAAGTTGTACTTGTGGTTAATGAGTAAAAAAAAAAAAAAAAGGCAAGAAGGAAACGAATCAATCGTAGAGCAAACATAGCAAAAAAATGTTGATTTGTCGACCTGGAAAAGTTCTCCGTTCTTACCGTTTTGGGCATCTCGGCGGCGGTGATGGTCGTCCGGTAGTAGAAGGAGGAAGTCGGGTGTTTCCCAGGAGGACTGAGGAAGCAGCGGAGCGTCCACCTCCTAAAGAAGAAGAAGGCTGGGCTGTGGCTGGCTGGTTAGTCCGATTGTAGGAGGGCAGGGCGTGTAGCCTTTGAACCGCTGGGGCCTGTGACGTCGCGCCTTTTGACTTGGTTACTATCGCGCAAACACGAAGGAGACGTCCGCCCAAAAACACGGGACGGAGGGTGACCTTCGATCGGAGCTGCGGCACGTAAAGCCGACGCGCTGATTGTAGATGCTGAAGCTTCAGGGGGATGGATGCTTATCAAGGGATCGAGATAACGCCTGCTGTCGATTCAGTTCGTCGAAGGAAAGCATATTTTAAAAAAGAAAAAAAAAATCGTCAGGGTTCGTTTTCTTATCTGCAACTGTCGTGATCTGTATTTGGACTTTTGTGTTGTTTTCAATCCATTGGGTTTTGTTTTATGTGGTTTGTGTCCTGTAGTTTGTTTTTTTTTCCACTTGCGCTCGTGAACCTGGTCCCTTGTGTCTACCGATCTCTGAACAATCCCTGAACGATTAACGACAATTGTTTCGCAATCGTGATTCCCACTGAGATAATCAGAAACATGCCGGCCAATGTTGTGTTGACTTCCGATGGGGAGGGGGATGAATAAATATTTGAAAACAAATGATTCAGAAGTGTGTTTATTCAATAGAAATCAGTCAGTCATTTGTTTCAAACGTAAACATCATGTTTCGTAACATAAGAGTAACAGCTCACAAAGCGACAACCTAACAATGCTAAATTCAAGTAGAAAAGGAACAGATGAGGTCAAAACTCATCTTTGATGTGAAAGTGCGGCTGGTCCTCGGGCTTGAAGTCCTCGTTGGGACTCCCGTCCTGGTTGAGGATGCGTGCGGCCGTATAGCCCACGATGGGGTACTTGGATTTGTACGTGCCCTCGAAGATGCTCTCCAGGGACCGCAGCTGCTCCGCCGTTAGGCCCGACTGTCGTGGAAAAGATGAAAACATTTAGTCCACGGGTGGGATCATAATTTAGCCTCGCTCCGATGTGGTATTGTGTGGGTATTTCAGCGTGAATCCTGCAAACGTTTAATAAAATCTCCTTGGCGGAGGTTTTTGAACCTGGACAAAGAGGGAAACGGTTGTGCAACACTCACGATATCCGACGTCAGGTCTTCTTCCTCGAGCGACATTTTGGCCACGGCTCGAGTGGAGTCCTTACCCACTAGAGCGTTGTAGGGCCCGTGTTTGCCGTAAAACTCTGAAACGAGAGAAAATGCATGCTATTTTTTTTTCTGCCTTAGTTCTGCTGTCTCAATTCTGCTTTACGGTCATTATATAGCTAATGAAAAATTAAAAGAAAAATGGAATTTTAAAAAATTGTTCACCAAATAAGATGAAAACAAGAGTGGTTTGAAAAAAAGGACAACTAATTGGAACTACAATTGATATTTATAAAACTAAAATGAACTACAATCAAAACAAAAACGTCTTTCGTTTTCATCTTTGTCAATTTCATACGTAAGATTTTAGGGGGTTATTTTAAACGTCTTTTACCGTTCCGGTACGTAAAAAGTGTGGAAAAATTAGTCGTGTTAAAACTGCATGCATGATTTAAACGACCCTCTTTTATATAAGACCCCCCCCCCCCCCCCCGGCCACACACACACACACACACACACACACACACACACACCTCTGGCCAAAGTCACAGGCCTCTGAAACCGGCACATGATTCTCAAAACAAGTCCATTCAAAATGGCATTAGAGTGCCTAGTTGTGAGTCACCGAGAAAAAATACGAGTCGACATGTATGAATACAGATTTTTATGTATTTATTTAAGTTTCGCAAACGACCCCTTCAGAAACAACAAAAAGACAATCCATGTGTTTCATTGGACAGGGACGTGACAAAGACTGAGTGTTCCAGTGTGGACTTTTCCGCACCTTTTCCTTCGGTGACGTCAAACACCACCCCTTTTATCGCCATGTAAATGGGCTCTCCTTCCTGTGACAGTGACATACATTTTATCCGCCATAAATTTTCCTATCCCGAATGGTCACTTTAGTACTACGTACGCGATTGCCGTCGTACCGCCGGAGCTCCTCCTCGGTGAATAACCTCACTGGTTTGGTGGCCGCTTTGTATTTTAACTTGTCTGCCGAAGACACATTGAATAGCGCAACAAGCAGCACGAAAACGGAGCTTGTGGCGGTTGCCATGGTAGAGTTCTTGTTTGTTTGTGTTTTTTTTTTTTTTTTTTTTTTTTATTCCTCCCGGAACCGGAAGGACTCGTCGTTCTCACTTGGCCGCGTCTATATTTGATCATTGGTGCGTTTAATGCCAAAGAAAATGTAGGAAATGTGAGAGCAAAATTTTGCATTCACAAATACATAGCAAATCTTAACATTTAAAAGAGAAGTGTAGCTCTCAGCCTCTCAGCGTGAAATGGCGTCTAAACATGATCTATATTAACAACGTAGTCTTTGTCAATAGGTGGAATTTTCATTGAAGATATCCGTAACGCCAATAATACTAGTTGAAACAATAGGAGGAGGCGCAGCTGTCTGCAACGTCACTTTTAAAAATCATTTGCGTGAGGTTTGTCATTAACAGACCTGGCCACACAGACCTGTCTTTCCTTGTTCCACCTTTAAAGGACCTTATTTGTAACGGGGGGTGTCATAAACTCTTATTTTCAATTTTTATTTTATTTGACACGCTGATCACCCCCCCCCCCACACAGATCACATTTATCATGTAAAAGTTGTCAAGTCATAATGACTGTTTGAACAAACATGAGAAAAAGTGATTTTAAAAATTCTAACTTTCCTGATAATCTCCTAAAAATACTCAGAATAGGACATAAATAATGGAAATCACTGGAGAGGGGACAAGCAGAAAAGCCTTCCTCTGCAGGAATGCTTTTGGTTTCCTCCCGTTTTCTTTGCTCCTTAGCTTTAGGAAACAAACCTACATCCTATGAGAAATACGATCTCGCAATTAACAACAATCAAAGCAGTTAATTTGGGGAAATGTATTTAAATATGAAATACATCACAGTACAGTATTGTACACATACGAGACTTCACTGTCTTTGCCTCAAAGTCAGCGAGTTCTATTATTCATGGTGAAAGTTAGAATTGCCAAGTACAATCAAGTCACTGGTCAGCATTCATCCCGTGAGATCTGCGTTTGATGTGAAAACAATTGATATATTTCCAAGCAGCAAATGAATGAGGCATCCTCACCCATTGTTCCATTTAGTCACATCCAATATGGCAGCAACACGGACGTACAATTCAGGGCCCAAGGTGTACATGTCTTTGGCAGTAGGCAACAGGATGTAGAAAGCTTTGTTGATGTTTGGACAATAAAGCCTGTATTACAGTTTATTGTCCCGAGCGCCGAACACAGGAAATGCCAAGTTACCATTCCGACAATATAACCGAATAACAATCGACACAGTGTCAAACTTCCGGATTCCTCTTATACAGCTCATAGGCAAACTCCTCCGTGTGCGCATAGTCTTTGATCACGCCAATGTAGTCGATCTCCAGCTGGAAGGGACCGTCCGCTTTGTCTCCCAGGGTAAATCCGATAGTGTTAATCTGTACGATACGAAGAAAAAAAATACTGTAATTGAATTGTTTTGAAACTGATCATGTCAAAAATTATGTCGGCATAAAATAATAATTAAAAAAAAAAACCGAATCACAATTAAATGGCTTCTCTTTACCTCCCATCGGGATAAACAATAGGTTCTAACAGTAATTCTGAGTCGATTTACGATATATAACTACAGTACTGGTACATAGGCTCTCTCTAGTGGAGCAAGTAACAATAAAACCTCATATCAGATTTGCTAACTACCGTATTTGATATGTATTTCCCAGGAGTTACAATGTAGTGTAATACAAATGTAAAATACCATTCGACATAATTCTCACTCACTGACCTTGACAGCTATATTAGTCAAAAATATATTTTAACTAGGCTGGCACTGAATTGTCACATAGTGTACCATTTTTTTCCAATCAAAAAGTGCGAAAGAAACAAATTTCATTTGAACAAAACTTGCCTCTTGACTATGACCTGATTAAACATTTTGTCTTAATATTTATTGCTTATAAATGCCACAAAATGGCGTAAAGCACTGAAAACAAAGGAAAATAAAGCATCAACACCATGATGCTAGCACAAACTAATGTGTCATCCCATTCAGGCAAACAAATGTGAGCATGAGCACTTTTCTCAAATTGTATGAAATTATTAAACGAATCCAACACCGACATTCCACCAGAAGGCGCCAAAGTAATACTTTCATTCTTTTGGCCTGAGCACAAAAACAGCGAAGAGCCGAGAATCTGAGCCAAAAACAGAGGATGGGTTGCCCCTTAATTAAAATCTGGTAACATGCAGGTGCTTCGCTGTATATATCAGGTGGATGGTCTTTCATGCGTCAATTTACAATAACAGACATGTTTTGTTTCTATCCACTGGAATTGACTTGAATTGTAACGTGTACCTTGTCCAGCCAGAGAGGATGCTGATCATCCTGAACTCTTCCACGATGTGCGAGGAAAAATTTTGAAAATGGAATCTGTAGAGTTGAATGATTTGATTAATATTATGCACAACATTTGTTCCACTTCTTATTTCTGTGCAGTACCTTGACCTCCTGCCAGTAGGGCCCCCCTCTGGTGTACAGGAAGTAGCTATAAATGTCATCTTTCTGGTGAGAGAAGTAGGTCTCTGCGGCGATGTTGATCATCCACGGCCGGCCGTCGCCGCGCACGCGCAGATGCAGCGTGTTGAAGCTGGTCCAGTCGTGGTGCTGCTTTCGGTCAAATGACGCCTTGGGGGAGGTTGGAGATGTAAGTAGAGAATACCAATGATTACACTTTATGGCAATGGTGAAGTGACTGCATCTGGGATGGGCAGAAGAATATTACTTACATATTTTAAAATACACAGAAATCTTTAAAATGGACATTTTCAAATATATATTAGGGGTGCCTCAGAAAATCCATTTAGATTCAACCGAAACAAATCGTTGCATTTTCGAATATGATTTAGAATTTACAATTATTATTATTTTTTTTTTCACAATGTTGAGCCTGATATTTATATTTAGAAGATATTTCTTTTCATTTTACTGGGGCCTGAAGCACGGAGTTTTCATACTTTGCCACCAAATTGGAAAAATAAAGGCACTAACCAGCGGCTGCTTGGAGCGCATGCTGCAGTAGCCACTGTAGCGCGTCTCTCCGTCCTTCGGGGGCGTCGATCTCAGCGTCCCATAGAGAAAACACGTGGTGTTGTTTCTCCCAAGCTTTAAGTAAGCCTCACTCTGGCCTCCTATCTCAAAATCAGACGACACGGTCCACTGCTCCAGGCTCTCGGGCCCCCGGAACTCCCAAACTACTCGGTTCTGCTCCAGCATGTGTTCCAAGATGGGTTTCCCCTGGGGGCCCACCCAGCGTTCCAAGAACTCCTTTTTCAGCAGCGTCAGATGTTTACGGATGCCGTCCAAGCCTTTGGAGAAGCTGAAGTTGATTTTCTGCCATGGAGGCTTGTCTTCTCTGGGCTTGCCTGGACGTCTGTACTCGCTCTGGGTCACACTTCGACTGAGGACAGGATGGAGAAGGTGTTGATGGTGCTGCGGGTGGAGGCAACCCAGAAGCCTCATCGAAGGAAATCGAAGGATGCTGGACATGGTGTTAGAGATGTGGACAGTTTACTGCTGGGAGGCAAAAGAGAGAAGTTGCGGGTGCGATCATTAACTCTTTAAACGTTAACAGCCATCAACTTAGTTTCTTTCTTTTTTTTTTTCTTCTTAATGGGAATGGCCAGTGAAAAGTTTTGGTGTACTCTGGTTTGATCATTAAACTGCAAAAGTGTTCTGATTTGACATAACATGTATTTTGAATTTACCATTCCGTTGCCGTATGATACGGGATTACGCGGGTCAGGTTGTCCTTGGATTATTTCAAATCCTTTCTGCGCGTACGTGAGCCACACTGCAGACCATGTAGGATACCCTGGAAAACGTCAAATGAATAATTAAAGCTTGAGAAATTGACGGGGAGCGTTGGGACGATTTGGTGACTTCGATAGAAGGTACAGTGGACAACATGTGTGCATCAAATATTTGTGTCCGGAAGGATCTATTCATTGATGGTAAAAGTTCCACACGAATATATTTGCGTAATTGGTTTATTCAGGACGAAAATTAATCAAATTGCCTACCTGATGCGCATTGTAAACTGTGCACCGTATTTAATTTTTGAATGTTTGGCTACATCGATAAAACTCAGGTGGACGATATGTGTGCACCGATTTGTGTCCGGAAGGAGGCATGGGAAGAAACCTCTCTCGTTCTCTATTTATAATGGTTTATGCAGGACATAATTTGATGCATGCCACTATCTGACATTTATTAATAAAATGTTTGTTTTAAAAATTAGAAACACCTGCTCAATCTCAACCGTTCTCGCTGTTCTCAGGGTTAATGGACAGATAAACGATATCGAAAAAATTTATTATTATTATTATTGTTATTATTATTAGTAGTAGTATTTTCTTGATGGACAACTTGGAACTCACTGTTTTATTGTGCTAATTGGAGGAATGCCAAAATCCATTCTCAAGATGTATTAATGACTGTAAAAAAATTCTCATGCCTTAAAATGCAAAAAAAAAAGCAAATATCGTAGGGAAAAAAGTGTGTACATAGCTTGACTTCTTCCTTTTCGAATATGGAAAAATGAGGTTTCTGGTTAATCTATCGACGTTTGTGCACATCCCATTTAACCAACAGCTTAATAACATTATAATGTAGAATGTTTTTCTTTTATTATCAGATGAATAGTCATTGAAGCGAAACAATATTTTTTTTCAAAACAAAGGGAAAGGCGTGGTTCTATAATTTCAATAACTTTAGAAAACATTTTTCGCGGCAAATGTGACGTTTGCAACAACGCGCATGCTCAGTGTCATCTTGCTTCTCGCGCTATTATGAATCCAGTTTATTCGGGACGTAATTTTATAAAAGTAGAAATATGGTATAGGTGCATAAAATGTGACTTCATTTTTAAAGAACTATCTTTTCAACCAAACACGTGCAAAACCCGATTCTTAAGAAAACTCTGACGTCATTAACACGCATGCTCGATGGCGCCTGCTTACTGCCCTCCTTCCCACCCCACACAACTAACATAAGGCGACTCCACCGCGGCAGTGGTGGTTTTAGCAGCTTAGCTTGGCCCGCTTTGCACGTTGTAACCATGGTAAACGTCAAGAAACGGAAAGGTCGCGTCGTTATCGACTCGGACTCCGAAGACAGCGCCAGCGACGACAACTTAGATCAGGTGACGCGCCTTGCTAGTTGTCAACACTTTGGTGAACGCAAACCAATGTATGCTAAATAGTTAGCTCATTTTGGCCTCGCTCTGTGAGAGGGGGAAAAGAACAGCAACCAAAACTAGGCTCAGCTTTTGAAAATCCTTCCACGGCGGTGCGACAAAGTCAACTAAATAATTGTTGTTTGTCAAGTTTTACCCCACTT